TTCTGTATGGCGCCACCAAGCGTGGGGACATGTGCTGTCGCCCTTGCGTGGAGATGGGAGGCTGCAGCCGGGCAGCCGAGATCGCGACAGCACGGCTATAGAAGTCGCACGCCGCCGTACACCTCGTGGCAGCGACTCGTGGTGCTGTTGGGCGCTAGGGTAGCAGGTCCCGCGCTCTCCTCCGCCGCCTCCTCCGCGTGATCCCCCCACATGGCGATGACTGAGCGAAGTTGTCGAGCTTGCCGAGCCGACGCTACCGTCTTTGCAGTAGCTGCGCCCCCCACACACGACGTACATAGCAACAGCTTCAAGTGCTCAGCCCTGATGTCTCGGGCAGACGCATCCCACGTAAACTCCGTGCCTTCGCCCCGTCGGAGGCGGCTCGGGAGATCGTGTCCTCGGCCGCGCGGCAGCGAGGAGCTGTTTCCGCTCGCCTCGTTGGCACGATGCTGCCCGCACGAGGAGCGTTGTCCTGCCTTGCGAGCGGCGTGCCAGTAACATGCGCGAGGCGAGTAGGAACAGTTTCCATGTTTGCGTGTGAGGGCTGTTGTCAAAGCACTGCAACCCCGTCGACTAAAGGTTCAAGGGTTAAGGACTGGTTAAGGGTTTCAGGGTCTTGGGATCGCGTTTGGCCGTGACTTGTTAAACGATGCCCGACTGCAAGGCCCATGCCACCCAAGAAACGCAGCCGGCGCCGGCGCGGCATGAACCGTGGAGGTTCCAAGCCACCGAGTGATGCTGGGACAGCCGCGTGAGTCCATGAATAATCCGCCTACGCGGAAGCGACTCTTCCGAGGCAGGCCTGAAATGTCTCCGGTTACAAGTCGTGCAGTAGCAAAAGAAACGGAAAAAACACTACCGACCCGAAGGGCGAAAAGGCCAGCAGCAACCCCGCACCACAGCCATCTCCGCGGCATGCACGGGCGGGTTGCCGAGCAGCGCAGGCGAACCACGCACCCAGAGTCAGGGGGGTCGGAGGGCGCTGAAAAGGTGGGCAACGGCTCGTCGAGTCTGCGCGCAGCGAGCCAAGCAGAAAAGTTGTGGGGACAGTCGAGTCATGTCGGGTACTCTCTGCTGATGACTTTCATAATTCTCGCATAGTCCTAAATGTCATGGAGATGCTAGGAGGGGGATCGAGCGGGCAGGCGAGGCAGAGTGGCCTCCGTAAGCCGGAGATGGTTGGGGAGGGACGTCGAGTGGGTGCTTCGGACCGAAGTTCCAATCCACGTGACCGGCGTCCAAGTGCTTGGCGAGCGCTCAGTGCGAGCTTATCAGCCTGTCGGTAGGCATGGGCGCGAAGTTGGTGATGGATTAAAAATGAGCAAATTTGGCTCACCCCTGGAAGCGGCGATCAACTGTGCTGCGACACACAGGATCGACGAGGGGTTCATTCATGTCGTCGGGGGAATGCGTGAGAGAGACTCAGCTGAGAACCAAGAGCGTGCCTTGACAGCGGATGCTCATGGGAAGAGGATCTCAGTCTGCATTGAACGTGACAACAACAGTGCTCGGGCTTCAACACCATGTATCTGTCTCTATCCACCACGACGACACTCACTGCTTCGTTCTTCTCCTGCTGACCTTTCCGAGCGCTTCCTCCTTCCCTGCCCCTGTGCACCACGCACACAAGCCCACCCTCACACGATCTGCAGGCGGGCAATGCGATTTTTCTGCACACCCGTGTTGCAACACATTGCTGTAAACACAGTATCAGCAGTGATTTCGAATTCGGCCGTCAGAAACCGTCGATGGCTTGAGAGTCTCCACAGAAAGTGCCTAGCTGTCACGATGCACGCAGCAATCAGCTCCACGCGAAGATGCATAAAATACTGATCACGCAATCGAGCACAATGATGGTGTTTGCTCCCGAAGGAAGTGTCAATCGCGGAGTCTCTTAATTATGTCGTAAGGCTATGACATCTGAGCTCTTGATCTGTTTGCCGAAGGGGGCCCAGAGCTTGTCCTGATGCAGGGCACTGGCATCCGTCGACAAGTTTGCTGAAGGCTTCTGGTCAAAGATACGGCTTTGTGGTTTAGAGTCTCTTTCAGTCCTTTCGTGTACTCCTCGCCGGCTGCCGGGCGTTGCCTGCCCTGGCAGGCGCCAAACTCGCACGAGACTTCGGGGGCATCTTCTCTGCGATGAGTGCTTGTAAACGGCGGGGACAGGTCTTTGGAAGGCCGAAGGGCCGGTATACGGCAAGGTCAGAGGTGAGTTCCGAGGACGCCCGGGAGTCTTGCAGAGCAACTCTGACACTCCCTCCACCGCGTCGTTGCTCCATCTCAGGCACCCTCACAAGAAATGCGTTCGAATGTGCTCATTCTGCCCAAGAACAAAGAGTAATAGGCTTCCTAAATTCCTAAATGCTGAATACAGGCCGAGAGCAACAACTGCACCCTGCACTTGCAAAAACGCTGCGCCGCACTGAACTGCTTCTTTGTGTTCGGAGCAACGACACTGTCATCAGTTCGGGTGACACATGGTTTGAAGGCCTGTTTCGACCCTGCGAGGACGAAATGCATGCATTGGTGACCACTTGCAGATTCAAGCAGCTACCAGGAGCACTTACAATACATCTGGCAGCATCTCCAAGCAAAGCTTACACCCTCCTCACTTCGAGTCGTGGCTCTTGAGGAAAGATTCCAAGTGCTGCTGCTGATGCCTGAGTGATGTCCACAAGGCATCTTCCAGAGAAAGAACCAAGCAAAAAGAACTTCACCGCAACTGTCAAAGGCCAGGGGCTTGAGGAAGTCAATTTCTTCTTTCCGCTTGCGTTCATCTACCGCCCGACGTTCCGCTTCGCGGCGTTCAATGGCTTCGCACTTGTTCTTGAGTTCCACGACCCGCGCCTGATGTTTCAGGTTCTGCAGCTTTGTGGATTCTGAGGAACATCGCGCTTCGTACAGGCCTCTCTCTGCTTCTTCTGCTCCTCATGCTCGGCAATCATCTGCTCTGTCTCTGCCTTGCCCTGCTCGGACTGCAGCTGCTTTCGTGTACCGAAGGTAACACCTGCACCGACATTGGACTTTGTCATTGCTCCCAATTTTGCGTATACCTGCTGCAAACCCTGTCATGAGTCTGAGGTGCAGGCTGCTCTGGTACAACGTTTGATATGCCGCAATGGACATGCGAATCTCATCACGGACACGTAGCAGCAATAATCCACGCTCGGGGCAGTTGATCGTGACCTGCCCATTTGCACGGTGAGTCAGCACCAGGACATTTGATTGACGCCCACCTGACGGATAAGCTCGTCAAAACACTGTGAGTAGAGCTCTTCCCGAACAGGGCAAATCCCAGTCTCGCGAGCCTGCAGGTCGGATGGCGATCAAACAGAGTGATATTCTGTAAGAGGATCCGCGACATTGTGACACATGAGACCAATTCCGGTGCCTGCCGCTCCATCAGACGCTGGTCCAATGCCTCCTGCAGCTGGATGACATCCAGGCGTGTGGCCGGTTGGTTGCTGACCTTCAGACGCTAGAGACCCACGTGGTGGTCGTGTCAGGTGATGACATTCAAGGCCTTCCAACTTGCAACCACAAGTGCCCCTCGACCCCGTCCCCCTGGCTTGTGACTGTGATGGCGCCAAGCTGCGTACTGCTGATAATGCTTGCCGTCCTCAATCCACTCACCTGAATGCAGCCAGTGGAAGTGTCTCCAAGGATACACACAGTGAAAAGCCAGATTGGCCGAGGCACGAGGTGGAAGGAGCGCGTGCCTTTCGGCTCAATGACATGAGTCATGCTCTTGCAGCGACCCCGGCATACACATTGAAAATACCGACCGATGTAGTTCTGTGAATGCAGGCGCGTGGCAGGACGTCGTCTGTGTTGGGCTTCGATTCTGCTGGTGGCAGTTGCGTCTTGCGTGCAAGCTGTGCCTGGGCAAGAGAAAAAAATAGCAAGCTGTCTTTCGCCGGAAGGTCTTTGATTTTGCAATGTCACCGAGTGCAGCATGAGCCTTCAGAGAGTTCGGCTTGGGCGGCTTGTTGCCCTTGCGACCGACGGCATCCGAAGGTGCCGGGCCCAGCTCCAGAGGCGGATCATACTTGACCTGATCACTGGGATCTTTCCTCTCACTGAAAACAACTGCACCCACACCGCAGTCAAGAAGAGTAAGAAGAGTGCAAAAGGCGACTGAGGCAAACACCAGAGATTCACGAGGTCTGCCGACTGGAATCGACATCGTGGCAGCCGCAATGTCCAAACATGCACAAATGTTCCTCGACAGATTTGAGCCCGAAACACACATGTCATGCAAGCCATTCAGCCGTCTTCACACACATGCACCGTTGAAAGCACCGCGACATGACACTCAGTCGTACTGTTTTCAGTCGATGATATAAAGATGAATACATGTCCATCTGGCAGTACAAAACTCTGTTCGAGGCATATCTTGTCCCGTTCGGGATGGCAACTTCCAGTCCCTGTGGCTTGTCAGTGTTCTGGGTTCAGGATACTCGTGCCTCTGGAGTCTGGCGTTCTCCATGTCCTCGACTCCGGCAGACCTTGGCAAACAAAGCGATGTCGATGTGGCTGCGGGTTTGTCGTCCCATCTGCAGGAGTCTTCCGTTTGTAAGAAGTTCAACCGACGCTACCTTCTTGCTTCGTTCAGATGTGACTCCGAGCACATGTTTGCAAAGAGCGTGCGGTTTAGTAGAGTGCAAAGTGGCATGACACAACTCCTTTTACTACTGCAGCTCGGCCTTGACAGAGAGGTCAGACTTTCCGCCAGGTAATATAAGCTGCTGCTCTTGGCCGCATGCCGGACCACAGGCAGCCAAAGCAGAGATGCAGTCAGGCAGCTCCACTTGCACGTCTAGCTTATCTGGACCACGCAGAGACACGTCACGGCCAAAATTCAAGGGCCCTTCACGAGGCTGTGCCGACCCCATTCAGGGGCGAAGTAACGCAGGTGATGCCGGTGGGGCTCTGCAGAGCGCAATCGAAAATTGTTCAATGCCCTCAGGCAGATCAGTTTCTCACGCTTGCTCTCTTCCTCAAGCAGGGTAGCCCGAAGCCTCAGCAAGAGCACACGGTGGGTGGCAACTCAACAATCACGCAGTGCCCGCGACGAGCTGACACCCTGAGATCGAAACCTTCGGCTTTCCATCCTATGGGCAAATCGCTGTCAACGCAAGAGCAAGTCGAGAGGTGAGGAGGAATCGGCCTCGTCGACAGTTGTTGTGATGCTGAGCTCGGCCAACCTTGCTACAGGAACTCGCTGGAATGATTCGCGTATGCATCCGCATGTTGCTGAGTCAAAAGCTGAGCGGATGTGATTGCAGCGGGCGTGTTGATCATGGTATCTCTGCCTTGCCGAGCGATTCGGAGAACCCCGAGGCAGCATTGAGGCGCAAGATGCTGAGACATGTTCCCATGTTGTTCTTCGGGAACGCAATGAAGTCGCGGATCGTCGCCTAGACATAGAGAAGCGAAAGGCACAGGGGGAACTTGCAGTTCTACGACTTCGCTTCAGAAACTGCCTTTCCACCAATGATGGTGCAAAGTCTGTCGAGTCCGAACGCAAGACCAGCATGAGGCGGAGCTCCTAATGTGAAAAAAGGCATCAAGTCCAGGTCTAAGAGCGATGGCCAGCGGCTCCATACTCAAAAGCACCCATCAAGAAGCCGAACTGCGCCAATGCCTGGAACGGTCTCTACGGGGCGGTAAAACTGGTGGCCGGTGGCCGCCACATTGACATGGTCAGGAGTAATGCACAAGCCTCCTCCTTGCTGAAGCCAAGCACACTGAAGACCTTCTCCTGCAAAGGCCGCTCCTGGGCTTTCAAGTCTTTCGGAGCACAAAAAAACCACTGGAAGCAGTGTCTTGCCAGTCCGGGCCGCGTGAATCCTGACGGACCCACCACCCACCTGGCCATGTGGGACATACCAGAGCGCCGGTGCCGATGCAGCTTGCAGCACCGTGTCAGCCTCAACGCCGTTGATCACCATGTCATAAGCGTTGGCTCTCACCTTCTGCACTCACTCTGTAGATGCTCAAAAGAGGCTTACAAGGGGGGGGGTTTTGAGGACAAAGGCCTCTGCCAGTTTGGGATCCTTGTGGTCAAGGCCTCAGAAAGGCCGCCAATTCAGGTCCCCAAATTACGCAGTGAACTTGGGACCACACTGACCATCTTCTCGATGTCCTGAAAGCGTTGCTCAGGATTCATATGTGCTGCGAAAATGCAGCTTCCAAGCTTGGACCTCTGTCCAGGGAGAAGTGAACGGGTGGTGTTTTGCCGTGAACCGCCCCTGTCTCGAGCAGCTGCCAGGAACGCAAAGCGCAAGGAAGGGAACGCCTCATCCTCGTCCCACTCCAACATCGGAAAATTCCTGGACAAAGGCTTGTCAGCAGGTCGGCCGCTGGGCAGAAGCGCGGGGCTCCGGCACGACCCAAAGTGCCCGAAAGCCTTCGCTTCGCAAGCCTGGTGTCCAACGACCACCATGAGCGTTCCATTCTGGCGTATGCTATCCAGCCTAGCTCTGTTCCCATCAGGTGCCGGAACTTGCCCATGGACTCTTGCCTCAGCATCAAACCAAGACCACACAGAGACCAAGCATGGGGACAACTCCAGCAAGGGGGCGTCTGCAGCTTCTTGCCTGCGAACCAGGGCTGCTGTTACTGTTGCTACTGGTTGCATCTGTTTCTCAAGCACAAGTCCTTCGTACATTTCAACACATGTTAAGAGATGTGATTGCAACATGTATTTTGCACGTAGCAACTTCCCTGATGAGCGCACCTGCACCACGGCTCGTCGCCGTACATTATATGTTCACAATTGAAGCTTTCCTCGATACTTTGTGTTGCTAAGCAAGATGGCTCAGCTATGGTCATGCGTTTGGTCATGAGTTGCCCAATAAGTTTGGAATACCCTTTTGCTCCACACTTTCGATCAACCGTACTACATCCTCGTATGAGGGGAAACTGCATGCTTTTCTGTCCTCCGAACCACAGTCTACCCTTTCTTTCCGCTCGGACCTGGTTAAAGCGTGTACAGCCTTTACATTGCTGCATGTGCACATGCACGAAACAAGCTTCAACACACGATACGACACAATCTTGTTTATCAGGATGTTGGACTTCCGCCGCGACGAGCTGTCATGAGGGGATTTATCTGCGTTCCCAAACACATCCAAACACTTTGTGAAGCAATACATACTGGCTCAAAGCCGAGTTTTTCATTGTACGGCAAACCACCTTATCAAGACGTGAAGTCCTTCAATTTCCGTACATGTTGTGTTGTTTACAGTCTTGGCTGAATTGTAGGTGCTGCGTGTGCCTGCGATAATGAGCAGGAGGTCCCCTGGACCACATCCTCCTGGCTTGGCATTCGCCTTCCTTGGATTTCTGACACGCTCCAGCATGGCGTCTGCAGTCAAGTTAATGCCGGCAAGTTTCTCAACCCACTTCACGTAGTCCTGCCAGAAGCGGGGCATGCTTAGTGGCTCCTACTCAAAAAAACAGCCATTCAGTCATTCCTCGTCAGTGAAAAACTTCTTCGCAGAGCAGTCGTAGGACCCATCGGGGTTGATCTTCAACCACACCAATGCACTTGCACCTGTCCAATACAATCAGGCCCAGACCTTGACTGTCTTCTCACAAGGGTTGCTTGAAGAAAGATGATGCCAGTCATTAGCACGGGTTGAAGATTGAAGCTAACCCATGGTTTCGATGGCCGGCCACAAGCTTCTGGAATGTTCTAGCACTTTAGAAATCCACAGTCTCCGGTGTTTGTGAACGGGGCCGCATCAGAACAGGTTGCTTTCGCACAACTCAAAACTGCGTCTCTGTCCTGTGACTATCTCTGACCCGCTTAATGGAGTCAGACGACCAGGGTTCATGCTCCACTTCGGACTAGCTCTCTTGAAGCCTCGGCAGTGTTCATAGAGTGTTCTCTGTATTTGTCGACCTGAATGGGTTGTCGTTGGGCATGGCTTTGCGAGCACAGGCGCTGGCGCTGGAATGTTCGAGGCCGAGGTTTTTTTCGAACCCCCCGAATGGGCTGCTTTCATGCCCTGGCTGCGTTGCGGTTTCTATCAGGCCCTGGAATCCCACTGGAACAGTTTTGTTCGGGCCCTGGAAACCCGTTGGAGTTTTGTTTCCGACCCTGACAGGACTATTCGTGCTACTACCACTGATTAGGACGCTCACTGCCATTCCCACTTAAGCTACCACCGCCACGACCCCGACTACTACCATACTACGGGTACTACTCTTGGTCAAGGCTTCTGGATGGGTGTTCCGGGTCGCGGGACCTATGCAAACCGGCCGCAGCCCCGCGGTCCGCGTAGCCGGTACGTTTGGGGTAGTGTTAAGTTTCTGGTTCACAAGCAGAGCAGACAAGGGATCCAGTGACACGTGTTGCTCAACAATGGCAACTCACTTCAATGGAGGGGATGCGGGCGTTGATCACCATTGTGCACCTGGTTCGGATTCGATGGTGGGCGATATCAAATTAAGCGTTAAAGCTCCGTAATGAAATGTGCCAAAACAACCAGCATCGCTATAGGTGAGGATGACTGTTATGCACGTGTGTTTCCCGGCAGTAACTTTGCCTGTAAGCACTGTCAGTCCACCGGTCAGAGGGGTGAACCCTGAATACAATTGAGTACATCTGTTTTGCCAAAATCGACTGAGCCTTCCAAAATTCCGCAGTCAGGCAAGAAATAAGGTCTAGAACTAACTTGGGAATTTGTTTTTTTTGGTGTTTCGTATTTATTCTTTTTTGGTGGCGGGGGGCTGGGTTCTCTGTATTTCCATAAGAAAACGTCTATTTTCGCTATGCTTTCCAGGGAAAACCTTTAGTTTCTTCATACTTCAACCACCAAAAACAGCGACATGTGGCCCATTCCGACTCCGCAACGTTTGGAGTCACTTAGCAGGTAAATTTAGTGGCCACCTGGCCAAGCTTCAGGGTTCAATATTTTAAATACCCCCCCTCACTTGACGATTCGGCGTATCATGTCTTGATGTCTTGAACACGCGCCCCATCCATCATAAGCGCTGCCGCTGTCATCGTATATCTTAAACACACACACACACATATATATATATATATATACATATATATATGTATATATATGTATATATATATATATGTATAAATATATATATATATATATATATATATATGTATATGGATATATGTATATATGTATATGTATATATGTATATATGTATATATGTATATATGTATATATATATATATATATATATGAATGAGTGAGTGATGGCCTGGGGTGCACTCCGGCCGAACGGAAACGTTCCCTCCCGCCATCTCTTCCCCCCTCCGTTTTCGTCATCGGGGAGATCCGGCAAGAGTTCGACGCTCCGAGCCCCTCAGTCCAAGCAGGGAAAAGTGCCACCCGAACCTCCATGGGCCCGCCCCCCCAAGCTGCACGGCTTGGGTTGGATTTGGGCACTTGGCAAGACAGCCCACTTCGCAGGAACAATAGCTCTTCCCCATGTGATCCCTCACACGGGTACTAAGCTGGGGGCACTGGCTCGGAGAAAGGACTTGGGGTGCGGGGTGGCCGAACCAAACACGCACACACGCACCGGCAGCAAGACTAAGGGAAAAAGCACGCTCAGCTGATCCCCGGTTGGCTGCGCAAACTCCAACAGTATTCCCCTGGCGTGTGGGGCAGTGCCTGAAACTGAAGGCACCACCCCCGACCAGAAGGGGCGGTATATATATATATATGTATATATATATATATATGTGTATATATATATGTACATATATATAAATACACATATACATTAAACACACCCCCTCATTTGACCGTACCGGTTCATCATGTATCTACACACGCCCCCTCGTTTGGCGATTCCGGTTCATCATATATCCACAACACGCCCCGTCATTAGCGATTCCTGTTCATCATGTATCTACAACACGCCCCCTCATTTGGCATTTCCAGTTCATCATATGTCTTAAACACGGCCCCTCATTTGGCGACCCTCTTACTTGGCGATTCCGGATCATCATATATCTTAAACATGCCCCTTCATCTGGCGCCTCTGGTTCATCATACATCCACAACACGCCCCCTCATTTGACGAATCCGGTTCATCATATATTTACAGCATCCCCCTTCATAAATGATCTTCCATTTTCATCCACAACACGCCCCGTTACTGGCGACTCCGGTTCGTCATATATCTACACATAACACGCACTCTGATTTGCGATTCCGGCTCATCATATGTCTTAAGCACCATTTGGCGATTCCGGTTCATCATATAACTGTGATGCTTGCACTTGCGCGGATAACAATGCAGGGAGGTTGGGCAGCTCCCCCCTTTGCAAACGCAATGCCTGCACGATGAGTCCTGAACGCGCTCATACGGGCTCTGTTCTCGATGGCACGATAGTCCGTACAGCCACTCCGTGGCCAGGGGCTGAACATGCCCGAGAAGGAGCCGCAGCAGCCCATTCGGGGGTCAGAAAAATCCTTTCCATGCCTGTTACGGATGTTTTGAATCCGTGGAGGGCGCCTTTCGAACCCTGGCCAACACGGGGCACGGGAGCATCACTCGAGGGATGCTGGCAGACCTTGCATGCATGCGCACTGGGAGCAAAATTGGCCCTTCGAACCGGGGTCACGGACCAGCAAGGTGGATTTCACACCCGCAAAAAAAATGTTTGCAGGTTTTTTTCGGACCTTCCCTCGACCTGCGAGATCGCTTTCAAACCCGCCAAAGATGTTGCGAGGATTGTGGACCCGTGCCTCTGCAGCGCTAGGTTCGTTTTGGGCCCTGCATGCCTGCGAAGGGCCTGCAGAATACCCCCCAATACGAACCTCGGGCGGCTCGGGCTACATGGAGGCTTAAAGGCCTACACAAGGTCGATAAAAATACATCTCGACATACCCACTCCTCATGTGCACACCACCCCAGAGGAACCCTCCGTCCAGACGGGGTGAAGGCGTAAAAAAAACTGCACAGGGGCCAAAAAAAAACCCAAGCCAATGTTCGAGCAGCCTGAGCCGTAGCTACTCCTTACAGCTCAAGGGAGCATCTCCGCTCACAGCCTCTGGCTCGGAAGCAAAGTCGGATGATTTGATTTGGGACAGTGGGTGTTCCACGCCACTACAGCTAGCTGTGTTTGAAGATCCCATTTGAAATCGCTTTGCAGGGAGTGGAAATATGAGGTGCGGCTATCCAAACAGTTGCAAACATCTGTCTTGCGCAGGCTCTCCGGCCTACTTCCTGTCCTGTGGCCTTCTTTTCGAGATCTTTCACTTTCCTTGCACGCGATACTATGTAGCAACAAATGTCGACGACAGACAACTTGCATGCAAGCGGCTTCCCAGACCATGAGCCAATGCCCTCACAGCCGCTAGGTTTTCGCAACATCTGTTTTCTGCCAATCACAGGAAACAAGCTTGCATCCGAACCTTGCAGCACATCCCCACAACGAGCTCCGCATCATCAAACATCTCAGGCACACAGAGCAGGCAGGAAGTACATCCTGCATGGTGTGATAGATGCTTCTCCAGCCTTGAAGTTTTTCCCTTTGCTCACCTCGACTGGCACAGATATGAACAGCTTTGTGCCGAGCAAGTCTACAGTGCGGCAAGGCAACCTCTGTCAAGTCCACCAGCCTTGGCATGCGGGTGATGTGTCGCATGCTTTGGGAATTTGCCTGCTGTCCGAGGAGCTCCATGTCGTAGCGCAAGTCAGGCTTGTCGATACCAAACCGATCCATCGCCTGGAGAAAGGCGGGAGTGGCAGTGATGGTGCGCTGGCCCTGCTTCTCCTTTCATGTAGTTGGCCTCACTGTATTCCATCCTCTGAAACGGGGGGAACTCGTGACCTCGCTCAGCCACCCTCTGCTTCCGACAGCGGCCAGAAGTACTGCTTGGGACTGCGGACTTGGGACCTGGCCGCACAAGCCTCAACGAGCAAACCAGCACAGCAAGTGATGGGGTGACGCCACTTCTCACAGCACAGATGCTGTGCTGCCAAGCAAAAACTCACCCACAGAAAGTTAAACGCACACACACACACACAAAGACAACACCGAACCACACCACTGGTCTCTGCAAGCAGCTCTTGAAGATTTGGCGAATCATGCCCTCGAAGATCCGCAGAACATCCTCCTGGAAGAGAGCTTCTGCAACTCTGCACCATGACGCATTCGATACATGCGGGCAACAAAATGAACAGATACAGCCTGCTGCACGAAGGACATTTCGCAATCCTCAGTTCTCCACGTCATGCCGCTGCTTCGCCATGTCATGTGCTTATGCGCAGTAGAGTCTACCCTTTAAGTCAGGGGCAATCTGAGTAAATTCAGGCTGCCTGTCCGCCCGAAGCTCCTTGGCACGTCTTGACTTGATGCAACTCAACTTGCAGAAGACATGCTTGCTGCCACAGAGTCCTCGTCGCGAAAGCATTTCACGATCTGGAAATAGCGATCGAGACCGCCCACCTGTTCTTAAGAGGAAGTTGCTGGTATCCGCGCGTGTTGGGAAACAAAAGGCAGACTGGCAGATCAGTCTGAGCGGAACGCCATTAGAAGCTGCTTGAAAGTCTGCGGCGACTGCGGCAGAGCATAGAACTGCCTTTGTCTGCAAACATTGGAGCTTCAACACACGAAACCATGAGTGCGCGTTGAAGCAGCTTCGTCGACGTATGCCGGGTTGCCCAGGGTTCATTCGTGAAGGCACCACAAAGTCACGAGCACCTTCGGGTGTTGACTTGATGAGAACCGGCGTCTCGACTTCCTGGGTAGCACCACTTGACAGCTACTTCTCGGCGTGAGCTGTGCAGCCGAGCAGCGCAAAACTCAAGATCTCCCAGGTAACTCGGCTTCTCGAAGGATCGAGCGGCAAAAGATCCAAGCCCGAAAGTCCATGCACCAGCTTAGGTTGTGCGGACAAGTCACTCTCGGACCATACGCGTGACCTTATTGCGGAGTAGGATTGCGTCCTTGATCGGGTTCCGCCGAATGTCCAAGTATCCTGGTGGCATTACTTCTTCGATAGACAAGAAGGACAAGCACTGCCTGGCGATGCTCGCATCAAGCACATGCGCCATGTGGCTTCGCACTACAACGTCGAAAGGCGGCGGTAATCAACAAAAGTCACGCCAGCGAGGACGTCAAATCCGGGCAAGGAGCGATACCGCATTCGTGTGTCCTTGAAATGGCAATCAAGCTGATCGCACCCTCAAACATTATTCAGACCCTTCCTCGTTGGCATCGGTCACATCTTCGATTTTGAAAGGAGGTGTGGAGCTAGCGTTCCTGAGTGCACGGAGGGAGCGATGGCTAATGACCGGTTGTTCAACACTTAAGACTTACAAACAACCAACCCAACTAACCGACCAACCGACTGACTTGCCCACCGACCGACCAACAAAAAACAAACATGCATGCATGCAAACAAACAATCAAACAATCTATCAAACAGTCACACAATGAAACAATCAACAAACAACCAAACAAGCAAACAAGGAAAAAATAAGCAAACAATCAAACAAACAAACTAACATGCATACTTACATACATACATTGACATACATACATACATACATACATACATGCGCACATCTCTTCATACATACATCCATCCACACATCCCTCCGTCCATCCACGAAAAATAGCCTAGGAACTCCCCTGCCCCCCCTTCCACCGCGCCAATTCTCCACCCTTCTGCCCTTTCACAAGGAACGGCTCCGGTGCCCCAGATTTGGCCTTTGGTCTGCTGTCGGAGTTGGTCCCCAGACAACCGCATGCAACAAGTGATTCTCCAACTCTTCCTTCTCTCTCTTGCTGTCGCCCTCGGTTTGCAGTCGAGATGCAAGACCTCAAGTTGGTCTGCTACAATCTCGATATCCCCTGTCCTTGTGCATGGTTGCTCGTACAAGTAATTCGAGAGTCAGCGTCACGGATGCAAATACGCAAGGCAGCTGAAGGGAGGGCGGTCTCTTTGCGTTCTTCTGGATGCGCTCCACCACCTGCGAGTCCGTGCCCAGAGCAGCGGTTGAACTCGCGGCGGAGGAGTGCCCTGCCTTTCCGGTCACCTCCAGGTTAGCACAATGCGCGGGACAGCACATCAGCATCGGGTGCTTCAGTGCTTCATAATCGTGAGAACCCAGCCTTCACGACGAACTCGCGGCCAAGGTTTCGTGCCTGCTCGTAGCGCTGGAGGCCGGCTTCGTCTGCTCCTTCCTGAACCGAACATGACATGCTCTGAAGGGCCCCCCATCCAACTACGAATGCAAAGCCAAGCATCTTTGGGAAACACAACCTGGCCGGGTCAAACTCAATCAAAACACTTGTGCGCCAGACCTGTCGTGTCTGGCCCGTCCCAGCTACACCACAACACGGAACGAAGTTTCATTGCGAGCTTTTGAACTCAGCATGTTCACCCCTAATTGCAGGCCATGTTTCTTGGCCTAGACGTTGGATCTGGAGTTTGGAAACCCCAGCCGCATGCATGGACCTGGGCCTGGTGCCCCGTACAGTGCAAGAACCGTGGCAATGCCGCGGCTGTGCCGCTGACTCCGGTCAACAGGCTAACCCTGTACCGCTGAGATCCGGTGATATCTACACTGAGTCTGCACTGTGTGCATGCTTTTGCGTATCTGAGGAAGCGCATGGCTCATCTCCACCCACCCGCTACCCCAACTTTTTCAACATGGCCTGTGTGATGCCATAGCGGTCCCGCAGGTCGACGAAGGCAAAGTGATTCATGTCTCTGGACATCTGCACCCAGCCGCAGACAGTCACCGACTGGCCCACATGTTCCTTCCTGGCGGAGTTATAAACACAGGAGCTCTTCTTCCGGGGCAGGTTGGCAGCCAGTCTCCAAACATGCCAAGCCACCGAAGCTCTCCACAACTATGGGTGCGGTGCCCCGTTTGGAAGGCATGCGCCATCTACGGCCCGTCAAGTTGCAGCCTCCAGGTCGCTACGTTCTTCGGCTTGGACCAAGAGCTGATGACAGGCCACAAAAGGTAGAGATCAGATAACGGTGCTACACATGCGCTACACTTCTTCTCAAAGCCCCGCCAAAGAGCTACTGGCAGTAGCCCGGCTAGCACAGCTGTGGAAAAGCAGGTGCCGGATCGAACTGAGGTCCAACAAGACAACACGGCTCCGATGTCACCGTAGCAGAAACCGTCGCAGTTCCTGGAGTGATGACAAAACCAACCCAGAAAAGTAAAGGCATCAACGCGCTGACTGCGGCAGCGTCCGAACGGTCCTTTGAGTACCCGGCTGTTCGGCTGCAGACGTCTTCAACAGACATGGTCTCAAAGAGCTCAAGGATCACCTTCTGGATCGGCCTGCAGGCTTGTCAGCTCCAGCTTGTCGGATGCACTCACTCCCGACCTGCTCGGGAAGGCTTCCGGTCTCGATGGTCAGCACGAGCCCTCGTGCGCGGTAGCCTTCGAACTTTTCAAAGCGGGCCCTGAAGCCTGAAGCATCCAAACACGGATCTTCTTCGCATCGAGCATCGAAACGACCAAGGCAGGAACTAATCTCGAGCTCTTTGGGCAAAAACCTTGCACGGCGTTGCCTCCTGAAGGTCCTCCCCCGAAGTGCTGGGTTTGCCTCTGAAGGATCTTGGTGGCGATAGCTGCCTCCTTGGTTGCCTCGGCCACACAAGAAGAGGTTCGCAGGCGGAACAGCAATTTTGAGACAAGTGATGCACTGCGTGTTGCAGCCCAGCAGCACTCTTACCGGCCATCTTCAGCTCCAGGCACCGGTAGCTTTCGCCCCCATCTTCACCCAACAGCCGGGCCCGTAGAGCAGCCTCGCATCTTCGCAACAGATCTCTGCTCCAGCAAAAGGTCTTGGCCAAGCCGAGCAACTGCCAGCTTTGAACCGTGAGTTCTGCTGCTGACCAGGACAGATCTCACCTCCTGCAACGCTCTGAGCTTAGACCCCACCGGATTTACTGAACTCGAAACGCAAGGAAGCATCAGTCCTGCGGAAGCCACTGCCTTTGAGCGGCAGACTTTCGGATGGACACCCTGCAAGTATCCTCCTGGCATCCCACCATGTCCAAGGCAGCTCCGGTCGAGGAAAAAAGACCGGTGGGCCACCTCCCTCATGCTGAACGACCTTTGATGAGATTGCAGTGGGGATCGACTTGAAAATGATGGCATCCCCCGCTCCGGAACTGTACTGAGCTGCACGGCGCTGCTGCCTGCATGTCCGCCTGCAAATATGCCTTAGCGGTATCTGTTTGACGATGAGGCACACTCACACAGCATCCAAACCTCGACAAGAAGAAAAGTTCAAAAGCTGCCAGATTGCCAGAGTAGGCAACACATCCGCCATGGTGGAGTCCTCAAGCTTGATGCTGCACTTTGTATGCATGCCACTATGGGTGCATCCTGTAAGCTGCACACCAACTCGACCTGCAGTTTGTCGATCAGTTCCTCCGAGACCCAGGCAGCGGCATCCTGTCAGCAGAGCAGAGCTTCGAAACGAAGTCAGCTCCTACTTCCTACCTTGCGACCACACTCAAGCCCGCCTTTGGCTTTGGATATCGCGGCTCTATGTTTGGTGGCGGAGGCAGAGCCGTCACAGCGGCCTTTGCGGCCTGGTAGCCACGTCGCGAGACTTCGAAAAGCAAGAGAATTGCTCTTGTGGCAAATAGGGCTTCTGCTGAAAGCTCCGCTGCATTCTCGAGGTTGGCAACGCCTGGCGGAACATGCAGCTTCGAGTGAAACGTGTTTGCTGCCCCGCAGCTGAGTTGCTAGGCCCCTTGGCCTGAAAACTCCAGTGGTGCGCCATCCTTCACGGAACATGCAGCTGAACTTTGCATGCAGAACAGCTATCACACTGTAGTGTTGTTTCGGCACTCTCTACAACCTCTTGTCTATGAGATCGCGAATACGTTCAAGCGAGGATTTCTATGCTTGCCATCTCCGGACTGTTGTGAGTCACACATTGCCGAGCATGCACATGTGCGACAGCGTAGTCCTTGTGAGATAATTGGGCATGTCGTGATGCTGCTTGTGATGTCTTCAACAAGCCGGCTGGCCGGGGCTAGGCCTCTCCCATGCATTTCAAAGTTGGAGCAACTCGCAACTGCAATTCAGGCAGACATGAACCGAGCAGCAAAATCAAGGCATGTTGACGCATCAAACGTTTGTGATGACACGTGCCTCCTCCAGGCCATGTACTCGAACGGTCGCTCGAAAGCCCGACTCAATAGCTTGTGTTTCGTAAACCTGGGCAATGTTGTGACACAAGCTGAAGGGCAGTCGGCGCTCGACCAATCGCAGCTAGCGGGCAACATCTCCTGCGAGGAGAGGCCGTCTCAAAGTCTTGGACACCAGGTTATTCAGCTGCACCTGGCAGTTCTAACACATGCGCCACCGTCTGCGTCCCTGTTCTTTCAACACCGCTTGGCACATCCAACCTTGGCGTTGATCGGTCCTGGTATGACGTCCAATCCGAACTTCCACATGCAGAGGGATCACAGCATACGTCAATTGCTTCTGCTTGACATCGTCATGAGCGGGGCGGATGCAAACACGGAAATGATATCCTCTGCGCGATCGTCGGGAAGAGGACCGAAGCACGGCCGCCTGCGATGATCCCAGCACGATTTCCGACGCTTCCAGACACCAGTATGCGCTTGCCTTCTCTCGGGGAGTCCGATGCGCCGGAGAGGCGAAGCGATCACCTCGAAACGGCCTGAATCACAAAACCGGCATATCCAAACAAAGCAACGGCTCGCAATGTGATACTGATTTGCATTGCAACAGAAGCATTTATGAAGCTGGAATGCTTTGACATCGGCTTGTCGGGAGCATGCCCATGTTTCATTACATTATCCAAGAGTGAAGGTGTGTAAGGCTGGGACGAGCAAAGCAGCAAAGTGACCAGCGCCAAGATGCGATGGCGCCATCTCATCGTTGGATGTGTGGCTGGGGCACAACGCACGCAGTGGTGCATGTTGCAAGCATCATCCGTAAATAGGATTGGATACCATCTTTGTAAAATGCCTTCATCGCACCACCGATGCAAACAGTCGCACAACGACGCATACGTCTTCGGAGGCCAGGAGTTTAGTAGTACGATGCAATAGTAACATGTACATGTGTCTGTTTATATATATATATATACACATATGTATTTGCAACCGAATCTCACGCTTTCTCACCTGAGAAGCTGCGGCTATTGTCGAGACAACACCGTGGGCACGGGGGTCTTTCGAGTGCACACATTATACTACGAAACAAGTTCACTGGTTCGGCACAATCTGTGACCTCTAGATGTAAGATTCGTGTTTGCTTGCAACTCAAGCATTCAACAACACATTTACTGGACAAGACCCTTCATGCTGCGAGCAGTCGCAGTCGAGCGAGTGGGCAACGTGGTTCAAAACCGCGATGCAGAAAATCCAATCTTGCACGTGTCGGATTTAATCAACGAATGCGCCGTTCCACATCCTGTCTTCCAACAACAAAACTGGTGTGATGGGGCTCGGCAAAACGGCATTGCGACCAAAAAATGTCAGTCAAAGTAATACTGCTGACGTGCTTTTCATGAGCGGCAACATTCAGCTTCTTCTATAAGTTTAGAGCTTTACGAACATATCATATCCACGTTTTTTTAAGCTTCAAAAACTGCTCCTATCAAAAAAATCTACAAAATCGACTTAATACTTGCTGCTTAAACGGTGTTTGAAAAAGAGCTTGATCGATGGAGGCTTGAGGTGGCGCCGGGGGATTTCAATAATCTGCATCTGCAGGATAACTTGTTTGTGCAACCTGCAACTCTAAGTGGAAAGTGCAAGGTTTCGGATGTCATGAGCGGGTTCATTAACGGCCCCGCAAAACTCTTAGAAGATGTGCCAATGCACATGATCACACTACGGTTGACTGATGCATCTACAACCTGAATCTGACATTGTGGTTCCATTGATTTCGCCTTCTCCGTTTTTGTGTTCTGGAGAAGTCCAACTCTGGCTTGAGAATGTTTGACTCCAATTTCCGATTCGCGGAGCAAGTTTCGAAACTTGAAGTACAGATTTTCCGGAATTGGAATTCTGAACGGGCCTGGAATTAATTTGGCAATTCTCTAGGATGGACATTTTTTTGGCTGTATGCTTGGCCTAAAGCATAGGAAAGCCGCTTGTTTTCCTGCGTTGTACAAGGGAAAACACTACTTTCCCTACATTTTTGGACGGAATCCTGTGTTTTTCCTAGGAAAGACACTAGTTTCCTACGGATTCTTTGTTCTTTCCTTCGGTTTTGCTTGGTAATTCCTCGGGAAAACACTATATTCCTACGGATTCTGTCTCATGTTCTGAGGTTTGTGACCGCAAGAAACACAGCAGGATCTGGTAAAACCGTTCACTGGGGGCTTAAGCTTTCATTTGGAACTTAAGCTTTCATTTGGAAGATTTCGGCATTTATGTAGGGTCAGATGCCGAAAGGCCGAAAAGCCATGAAGCCAAGGAAGGCAAGAAGACTGTTGTTGCCACTGATATTGTCTTCATTACTCGTGTTGTGGTTGGTGTTGTTGTTGTTGTTGTGGTTGTTGTGGTTGTTGTGGTTGTCGTGCTGCTTGTTGTTGTTGTTGTTGTCATTATCATTGCGGTCGTTGTGTTAATGTTCTTTCTGTACTATACTTTACTATGATTCGTTATAAATTGAAACAAACATAATATAATTCTACATGATGAAATATAAATCATACTGGTACAATGGAATAATGTAACACAATATAAAATAACTTCCTATTGTATTGTAAGGGAATGTGATATAACATAACATAGAAGAATACAATAAATAATATATCACAAGTTAAATGATATGATATAATATGATAAAGTATGTTATGATGCGATATAATTCCCGAAAGCATCGCGAAGGGTTCTTCCGTGTGGAACGCCGCAGCTGAGTACATAGATGACAGACATAGAATCAACTTACTTGATTCCATACTTTACTCTACACTCTACACTTGATACTTGACTCTACACTTGATACTTACTTACTTACTTGACCCTTATGACTGACTCTCTACACTTGACACTTGACTCTATGATACTTGACTCTACACTTGATACTTGACTCTATGTTATGCTTACGACTTACTTACTTACTTACTTACTTCAATCTACTTACTAACTTACTTGACACTTGACACTTGACACTGGACTCTATGTTATGCTATCTCTATACTTACTTACTTACTTACTTGACTTGCTTACTTATACTTACTATACTTACTTACTTATGACTGACTCTCTATGCATCTATGACTTACTATGACTTATGACTTACTCTCTACATCTCGGTATCTTAATATTTCTTTTAAAGGCGGGGGTGGCACCGTCGGGGTCCATCGGGAATGCAACCCTTCCCAGGGATTCGCTGCCTCGGGCGTTCAAACGCTAGGTAAAGTGACACATTTTAGGCGCACCGTGCAACCCTTCCCAGGGATTCGCTGCCTCGGGCGTTCAAACGCTAGGTAAAGTGACACATTTTAGGCGCACCGCGCAACCCTTCCCAGGGATTCGCTGCCTCGGGCGTTCAAACGCTAGGTAAAGTACACATTTTAGGCGCCCGCGCAACCCTTCCCAGGGATTGGAACTCTCGGGCGTTCAAACGCGAGGTAAAGTTACACATTTTAGGCGCCCGGCGCAACCCTTCACAGGGATTGGAACTCTCGGGCGTTCAAACGCGAGGTAAAGTGACACATTTTAGGCGCACCGCGCAACCCTTCCCAGGGATTCGCTCCTCGGGCGTTCAAACGCGAGGTAAAGTTACACTTCTTGCGGGCGCCGCGCAACCCTTCACAGGGATTCGCCTCCTCGGGCGTTCAAACGCGAGGTAAAGTTACACTTCTTGCGGGCGCCGCGCAACCCTTCACAGGGTTTGGGTGCAGTTCAATTTTTTTTGCAACCCTTCACAGGGATTTGCATTTTGCAACCCTTCACAGGGATTGGCGTGGTCGGGTGTTCGAACGCGAGGTAAAGTTGCATTTTTTGATTTGCATTGAAATGAATTTTGCAACCCTTCACAAGGATTGGCGTGGTCGGGTGTTCGAACGCGAGGTAAAGTTGCATTTTTTGATTTGCATTGAAATGAATTTTGCAACCCTTCACAAGGATTGGCGTGGTGGAGTGTTCGAACGCGAGGTAAAGTTGCAATTTTTGATGAGCATTGAGATGAATTTTGCAACCCCTCACAGGGATTGGCGTGGTCGAGTGGTTGAACGCGAGGTAAAGTTGCAATTTTTGATGAGCATTGAGATGAATTTTGCAACCCTTCACAGGGATTGGCGTGGTGGAGTGTTCGAACGCGAGGTAAAGT